ACCACTGCGAAAGGTCTCTTTGCGTTGGTGCAGTTGGTGGCGTCACCTCTGCTCTCTAATGATGCGTGTGTTTCTGTGCTGGTAATAGAGAGGTGAGTGACTGTTCTGGTTAGGAGATTCACCATGCTCCACGTTATCCGGATCGAACGTGAAGAAGCAGGCTGTCATCTTGCCCGGATTGTTAGTGATTTGGATCCAGGTAGATGCACACCACACTGCAGGATTTCTGGAATGTTCACTGTTCTCCTTAGTATTTTATTCTTTAGGAAGTAAGAGACAAATCTGCTTTTCAAAATACTTTTTGAATTGTAGATATGTTTTTCAGTGATAACGTTGACAAAGATGATGTTGTTGAGTAGTGTCACACACATCAGGCATCCTGTGTTCAGGGTGAGTGAACTCGTGTCCCAGGGAGAGAAGGCACTGCTGCCCATCCAGCTCCTCTCTCTCGCCTATGAAGTTGTGTGGCTTTTTCAGATACTCGGAATTTCACCAACACCTTGTGTGTTGAATATGTTTATATGTAAACATTCATTTTAATTTAATATTAAAAATGTTTACATTTTAATTTAAATATTTGTGGAATGAGTCTGTGACTAAAGATGTGCAACTTCCTAGAGTGTTAAAGCTGTTTAAAATTATTAGTGTAAATGTAAATTTAAAATGCATTAGAAGCTAAGAATAAAGGACGGAAATTGGAAGGAAGATAGGGAGGGAGGAAAGGCATAGTATGGTCTTAGAATTGTATCTACAAAATGTGTTGAATCTGTTAAGAACTACTAAAACTGTTTAAAGTTATTTTTTCTTAAAGTTAGGAAACAAAGCAAAGTGCTTTGGAGTTTCAAGTAGTCCGTACCTGATAAAATAATGAAGTCGTATTTCTGACTATTTGCACTTGAAGCCAGCCTTAACATTTCTGGGGTTCTTGTTGTAGGTACCCCCTCAGGCTCAGCGTGTAGCAGTGCGTATCACGGTGAACACAATGGGCTCATTAGCAGGTGCAAGCCCTGGTTGTGCGATTTTCATTTGTACTCACAATTGTTATCCCTATACAGTCTCAGTGATAATAGTCCCACTAAGTTTCCCCCCTCTAATTTGCAAGAGCAGTTATTTCCCCTGAAGTTAAATTAAATGGAGCATAGATAGAATGGACACTTATTACTTATTTTGAACTCTTTTTCTAATTTGTGCACTAAAATTGTTGCTGTAACTGAATGGGAAGTCTCAGTGTGTAAAAGTATCATGGACTAATCTTGAAACTTTTCTGTAGTTTGAAATTGCATTAAAATGTAAAGAAGATAATTATCATTGATAACCTTACGGATTCTGAAAGATGAATTAGAAAGATACTGGATGTGGATAATTCTAATAATGAAAGCAAATTCAAAACATCTGAATTTTTTTTTGTTGAATTTGTCTCCTCATTCAAACTCAACAGGAAGTGGCAACAGTGAAGAGTTCACATTTTGAGTGTATACATTCTCTGTGGTTTTAGGACTGTGAGAGATTTAAAATAAAACCTTAACCGTCATGTACATTGCAATAGCCTTCACCTTTTGGAAATATGAGCAGCAGCAGAAATGATTTTTCAAAATCCTTTTCATGGCAAAGCTATTTTCAAAGTCCTTCTTGAACCATAACAGCAGGTAGATACTATCTTCCTTTTAGTGTATAAGCTTCAAGCCAACCTTGACATGGCCTACACGAAGAGCAGTGCCCATGAAAAGACTTCTTCCAATGCTCAATGCTAGATTTTTCTGAGTTAGGTAATCATCTGATACTTGCACCACATTCTTTAAAAGATTTATTTATTTTTGGGCCCGGCGCGGTGGCGCAAGTGGTTAAAGGTCCTCGCCTTGCACGCCCGGGATCCCATATGGGCGCCGGTTCTAATCCCGGCAGCCCCGCTTCCCTTCCAGCTCCCTGCTTGTGGCCTGGGAAAGCAGTCGAGGACGGCCCAAAGCTTTGGGAACCTGCACCCGTGTGGGAGACCCGGAAGAGGCTCCTGGCTTCGGATCGGCATAGTATCGGCCCGTTGCGCTCACTTGGGGAGTGAATCATCGGACGGAGGATCTTTCTCTCTGTCTCTCCTCTCTGTATATCCGCCTTTCCAATGAAAAAATAATAAAAATAAATCTTAAAGAAAAAAGATTTCTTTATTTTTATTTGAAAGTCAGATTTACAAAGAGAAGGAGAGACAGAGAGAAAGATCTTCCATCTGCTGGCTTACTCCCCAAGTAGCTGCAATGGCCAGAGCTGAGCCAATCTGAAGCCAGGAGCCAAGAGCTTCTTCCCGGTCTCCCATGCAGGTGCAGGTTCCCAAGGCTTTGGGCCATTCTTGACTGCCTTGCCAGCCCACAAGCAGGGAGCTGGATGGGAAGTAGAGCAGTCAGGAAGTGAACCAGAGCCCACATGGGATCCCGGTGATGCAAGACAAGAACTTTAGCCACTAGGCTACCATGCTGGGCCCCACAAAATTTTAACCATTGGTGAATCCATTTGCTTTTCGATCTTGTAAGTGTGCATTTGAAGGACACTGCACCTTTATTGTCCTGTCGCACAGTTTAAGCTGACATTATCGCCTAGGTTTGATTCATCTTGTTCGTTACTAGTCCTGCAGTGGATGTAGTGCTAACCTCCTCATGGTTTGCACCAACACTTAGCACAGTGCATTTGCAAGGTAGTCAATCCTTACTCCACATTTGTGGATGAATTACTGTGAAATCATTTTCATGAACTATAATGTGGTTGTTCAGCAGAAAAAGGCATGGCTCCTATCTGAAGGCTTTGAAGTCTTGTTGGACTTTATGATCATGGAACACGTTGATTGCCTGGGCTTTATTTTGATCAAATAAAAACTTTATTCTTCCTGAAAGTTGGTTAAAAGAACAAGCGCTAGTGTAAGCGGCTCAAGTGGCCGCATTGCTCAGGAGGCAGTAGAAGTGTGTGAGCAAAGGCTTGTAATGACCACATTATGAAGGCAACCTCAGGGCCTTTAGTACAGTTCTTTACACAAACACTTTATTATTCTTTTTTAAAAATTGTAATTACTTATTTGAAATAGAGCACTCCTCCATCCACAAGATCACTCACCAAAAGCTAGCAACAGTCAGAGCTGAACTGGGCTGAAGTCAAGAGCCAGAAACTCTCCCTTGGGTGGCAGCCACCCAAGTCCTTGACATCACACAGTTTCCCAGCGTGAGCATTATTAGCAGGAAGCTAGAATCCAGACTGTTTTATCTTACTTCTTTTCCTGTTTACCATTTTTTCTGTTACTAACTTTAAAAAATTGCCTACTTTTCCTTAGCTGTTCTAGAGTGAATGTTCCTGGGCCTATGGACTACCATCTGTCAGGATGTCAACACAGAGGAGCAGGCTCCAGGGCCTGAATGGAGTGGGGGCAAGGCAAGGGGCTTCTCCGCAGACGATGCATTGGTGTAACCCACATTCAGAAAACTTAAAAAATAAAAGACCTTTATTTTATAAAGAAAACTAAAATTTTTAGATAGTAATGGCTTAAAATGAGTAGACATACTCTGATCAGAGGAAAGGTTGCTTTTTGACAAAAGAGTCTTCGGATTCTGTTTTTGTGTGATTGACTCCTTGCCTTGACAGATGATGAAATGACTCAACCTATAACTTCTTTTCCATTAAGGATGTTTTGTATCAGTCTCTGGAGCTTACTGTGGGTCCTAGCTTTGATGGTAAGGATCCAGGACTCTCTTTAAGGGTTCCTTAACTCCAATGCAAATACTGACCAGCTGCTTCTGTATTCTGACATTCTTTATGCCTCAGCACGGTTACTTACCAGCGAGGGTTTGGGCTAGACAAGCACTATTGTTCCTTTCATCTCAAAAACACAAAGATTTTCCACACTGATCATCATCTCTCCTCAGTACTTTTTTCATTTTTCACTTTGTAACCTAATGTGCTTTCCTTTGGTGGCACTGTGCACATGATTTGTTGCCTCTTTCTTCATGAATATTAGTACTATTAGCATTATGAATATCACAGTTTAGACACTACTGCAGACTCTGATTTTTTTTTTTTTGCTTAAGATTTAGTTATTGGAAAGTCAGATTTACAGAAAGAAGGAGAGACAGAGAAAAAGATCTTCCGTCTGCTGGTTCAATCCCCAAACGGCTGGAACAGCTAGAACTGAGCCAATCTGAAGCCAGGAACCAGAAGCTTCCTTTGGGTCTCCCACATGGGTGCAGGGTCCTAAGGCTTTGGGCATCCTCAACTGTTTTCCCAGGTCACAAACAGGAAGCTGGATGGGAAGTGGAACAGCCAGTATATGAACCAGCACTCATATGTGATCCCGGCACCTGCAAGGGGAAGATTTAGGCACTAGGCTATCTCACTAGGTCCCAGACTGTGATTCTTACCAGAAAACATTTTGTTTCTAAATAAGCCTAGAGTTCTGTAAATAGTATTGTATGGAAGGATAACAAAAGGTGGACCAATCTGACTCTAATGGAGTCAGATGGAGAGGGGAATAGGAATGCATGTATACTCTGCCGGCTTTACAGCGTGTGAATCAATACAGTATTGGACACAGGGCTAGTACTGGCTCATGACTCTTAATTTATTGTGGCAGGTATCTGTGCCATAGTAATGAGATACTGCCAAGTCATAAACAGACACACTCTTTGAGCTTATTCACCTTTCCCCACCAGTGATGGGCCCCCCTCTCCCATTAGTTCCCCTTGCCCCAATTGAGCCCCATCCTTTCATTAATCTACGCACTTCACAGCCTCGCTCATGCCCGTCTTCCTGTGCAAGGCCCCCACCCCTAGTTGTGTCTCTCCATTGACCATCTCAAACACCTCCCTCCCTCTGCACTTGACTGTGAGCCATCTCTCCTGTGTTCTTGGCCCTGTCCAGCCTCGCTGTAACACTGAGCGGCATCACGGTAAACAAGAGCAAAGTCTAAATCTCCAGTTTGACTTCCTTGACATTGGAAATGATTTGTTTTATACTCATTCTTTCTTTTCCAGATAACCAAGCTGAAAATAGACAGCAACCCTTTTGCCAAAGGCTTCCGGGACTCCTCCAGGCTCACTGACATTGAGAGGTAAGAAGAATTTCTATTGACTGTTTTTTTTTTTTTGTCCCCACGAGCTAAAGATAGTTTGTAAGAACACACACATTTCATTGCCAGGGAGTTTATGACCATGTAAGATCTCCCTTTCTCTACCTCCGTTCCCTCCAGTTCTGAGCTGGTGGATCTCTAGCTGCTGCTCAACAGCTGCATCAGGCGCACTGTCACGGACTTAGCCTCTGAGGGAAGCAGTTTCTCTGGCCAGAACATGTAGGCCACCACATAGAGAATGAGAAGTAGGCGTTTGCCAAGCCTTAGGATTCTTGAGGTTAAGCTTCATGTCTCCATGTGTGGCCCGTATGCAGAGAAAGAAAAACCAGTGGCCTGTAACCTCCTTCAGTGGCCAGCATAAAGAGCAGAAGACTGGTTTGGAATCATGAGAAACAGGGAGACAAACAAAATTCAAGGTCACAGAATTTTTCCTAGAGGGTTGATGGCTTGTATTTCATAGACCAGACATCAGATCCCAGGACCCCCTAAAAGCCTAAAACAGCCTCATGCCTGAAGCTTGCCCAGTTTTTCTTCAATTTTCCATGCAATTTGAGAGCATGCAAGTGATGGGTAACGTCTTGTTAAGATCCATAGTTTGCCAAATATGAATGTCAAGAACTGTGTTTCTCTGAGATATTTTTCAACCTGATTGATCATTTGCATTTCTTAAATAACACTCTTATTTTTTTTATGTGACCTGACATCTTTATCAACCCCTGGTTTACTTTATTCCACATCTTCGTATGGTTTCCCTTGCAAGTGCCACACATTTCTGCCACCTGCCACCAGTCATCTCCTGACCTCAACAATTGTGCCCACCGTATCTTGACAACTCTCCCGCAATGGCAAGGGTTAATTACATTTTAAACATCTTCTGTGGTTCTTCATCCACTTTTGCGGGATGCTGGTTTAATTTGTGAGTACAGATTGAAAAGCCTGGCGAAGAGGCAGGAAGCTAGCAGGACTGGCTGAATGTTGTATAGAAACTACTGGATTTGTGTGGAAAAGAACCATCATCTGGCTGTAGAACCTAACAAGGGGGTAATGCAATTAAGTGTAAAATGTAGAGAGAAGGTAGGCTGGTAGTTCTCCAATCAGATGACCAGTGAATGAGACTCTGGCATGGGAAACAAGAATCTATTTACAAAGACTGCTTCATTTAGAAACGATTCTTCAGTTTCTCCCGAGTGATAAAGAGTAGCTTGTGCAGCTAGGATTATTACAGGTGAATTATTTTCCTTGTTTTACTTAGGTATCAAATGAGAATGATGACAGCAACTCAGTGGGCCAGTAGTGATGTGTTTTTACAGTGTATGTCAGGGGTTAAGCATTGTGTGTAGATATTCCTCCACTTGTTATGGAGTCTTGCCAAAACTCCACCATTGGTTGAGGATACCATTATGTTGAAAATGTAATTCCTACACCTCCCCATCCTGGCTTTGCCCCGCAGCACACAGTAAAGTGTCGGCTGTTCCTCTCGTGATCCAGGGTGTGACTGGGAGCTATGCCCCGCAACGCGGCCTGATGTCATCAGAGAGAACTGTGCCTCTTGTCACTAGCCTGATTAAGGATAGAAATTCTGGATTCAAAGTACAATTGCTACCGAATGCATGTCACCTTTAACACCATCATAAAGTTAAGAAAGACACCAGAACTCACATGAAGCCATTGTAACTTAGGGAGAGGAAAGTCTTGAGTCAGAATCCCACTTTGTCTCTCACTGAGTGACCCTGAGGATCTCACTGGACTGTCGGCCTCCCCATCTGGAAGCCAGAGAACCTAACCTTGCTCGCATCACAGCTTTGTCCTGGGGAACAAGCGAAATGACAATTACAAAAGCACTTAGCAAATCTAAAATTGTAAAAGCAGTTGTAACTTCTTGCTCGTATTCGGTGAGCATTTTATCTAACAGCATGTCCTCAGATGAGTCTACTTTTAATAGACTTAGCAGACCCATTCCTGGAGTAAAAATAGCCCTGCAGCTGCACGTGTGCTTGTGTGATAGGAGAACCCAGTCTGCCTGCCCTTTGGACTGGTGGATTTGATAATGCATACATGGCCACATTTTCCACTTACTGGGTAAGCGTCCTGATGTGGGAGTACTCACACGCATGTGAAGCATTGTGGTCTTCAGTGGTCTGAGAGCTAAGAGAACATTCTTACAAGACTAGCTGAAAGTTTACAAGATGACCCAAATTGTGTGAAATCAATAGAGGTTTTGGATTTCATTTCCAGGTATTTAAGTCTGATTTCTTTTTTTTTTTTTTTCCTAAAAAGCCTTTGGGGATGGGACAAATCAGATCAATTGATCTTTAGAGACCTGAAGAAATTAAATTAGTCTGGAGTCAGTTACTGCACTAAACCATCTGGTAATTGAATTGCTCCTTGTAACTGATTGAAAACAGCCCTATCAGTAACAATACAGGGAGCTTTGCTTTATGAGAGATCTGAGAGAAAGACACATCTTTTTATGACATGATGACAGATATTGCACTTTTCTAACCTAATTGAATATGATGCTATAAATACGTGACCTTAATGATTTCAAGTTTCCTGTTGCTGATTTACAACTTACTCTATGGGACACCCAAACAGAAATGCTGCCGAAAGGGTTGGATCTGCTGTCCCAGGCAGTGTCTTTCTCATCTGGAAAGGAAAACCCAGCTCATTAACAAAAGCTGAAAGTCCTGTCATGAGTTGCTTGGTACGTTCCTACCATAACCAGCTCATACGTCAACCAAATCCCAAGGGGATGGCTTAAAATGACCTAATTTCTAGTTGTGCAGATCAGGGAAGGAATTATCTGCCAGCTCTGCATAGTAGCGAACCCTCCCTTGACATTTTGTTTTACTTTTCTGTGTTAAAGGTAGGTACCTCACAGTATAGCACACAAATATGTACCATTGTTTTTGAAAAAAGAAACATATTTGAGTTTTCTACATTTTCCACAAAACTAAGTGCCTTCTATTACTTTTTTCTTTTCTACAAAAGATCTCATGCTTATTGAAAAATAATAGTAAGAAAAAGCCTAAAAGGTAATTAAGTCCTATTTATTTACCCAATTAAGAATATTCAACTATGGATATTCTATTTTAATGCTTCACTGCTTTCCAGTTTTTTTAAACTAAATTTTTGATTCAAGCAGTATATATTTTAGTGTAAAATGTGAAATAAACCATTTTACACTTTTTATAAAAGATCCTAATCATATATTTAGTAATGTGTTCATTTCTGCACTTACAACTGTCCCTTTATCGTATATGAAGAAATCTATATTAATTCTTATAGTCTCTCACTATTTTTAAGAAATTTGAGAGGCAGAGAGCTCCTATCTGCCAGTTCACTCCCCAGCTGCCTGCAGCAATCTCAGGCCTGGTTATCAAACCTGGGAGTTGTGAATGCTGTGCAGGTCTCCCACATGAGTGGCACAAACATGGCCACTCAGATGGTCCTGCTGCCTCTCAACTCCTGTGCTCCTAGGAAGCTGGAGTTGGAAGTCTGGGGGCCACTAAACTGAGAGAATCTGATATGGCACAGTGGCACCTCGTCTGCCAACTCAACTGCTAGGCCAAGTCTGCCCTGTACAGTGCTTTTTACCAAGCTGTCAGAATCACATTATTGTCATTTCCATAAACCAGTAGCATATGGACTATTTGATATGCTTAATCATCCTTTGTAGTTGTCATTCTCTAATTTAAAAAGGAAAAGAAAAATTTGGTGCCTATTCTAATCCTTAAAATAATTTTGTAGTTCTTCCAACAATGTCTTTGGGATTTTGATGGGACTTGTGTTGAATTTACTCCATAATCGCAGAGAGTAAACTTGCATCTTACAGGATCTTGCACTCCTGCACTGATTCATTCCTTTCAGGAACAGGCATGTTCCTGCAATCTCTTGTGTGGAATTTTTGGTATTTTCAAGTTTGTAAGTCCCGCATGATTTCTTAGAGATGTGTCTAGTCAGTTTGTGGGCACTTCACTGCCTATCACAATAACGACTGGCCACAGATGGCTGATGAAAATGTTTCTCTTGCATATTGAGAAGTGCTGTGTGTGTTAGAGATGGAAGGGGAGGGAGACAGAACCCTCTGGAGTGGTTTTTTAAGACTCAGTAAAAAAACCAAAAGAATGAAAAGTTCTCAACAGTTTTACAGTGTTGATTGGCTATTAAAGTAATATTTTAGGTTATTGGATTAAAGGCATAGTTTTGTGTTTTTTTTTTTCACGTGGAAGCTACACAAGTTAAAATTACATTTGTGACTCATTTCTGTTGGAAGACATTGTACTGGAGGGCTTTGGGGGAACTGGCTCTTATAAATAGGATTTCAGAAAAGAAATTCACACAGATAAGGCCGTAAAAAGTCATTGATTTCTATATGTGCTTGGCATTCCTCCATCTTACTGAACTTAAACTGTTGAAATAATTTTTGTCATCTCTTCTATTTTCTAGTTAGATTGCTATATCATTTACAAAAGCAATCTCATGCACTCTCCAGAGTTGGCCATTGTTATGGACATGGCCCCACACCTTTCCAAATACACCATATGAGCAGATAGACTGCTCACCAGCAGCAAACACTGGGAATGCCTTCTTTCTAGATTTCTGCAGTGTGAGGATCTTTCCGCTCAGAGCTACTTGAACATCTGCCTTCTGTATCTCCAAGTTGCAATTCGGGTGAAACTCTAGTACAGGCCATCTGATTCCCAGCTGTCCGTTTCCTCGCTGTACACTGGTGAATGACACACAAATAGGCTCTTTCTTCACTGCTTTCCTGTTCATGGCTCTAAGCACCCTCTCTCATTTGCTGAGTTTTTCTTGTTTTCTTGGTTACATCAGTGGGACAGGGAATGAAATACTTAAGCGTATGTCATCCTATTGGTTCAAAATTTATACTGAGAGTCTTGGGAAGAGTTGTTTAAAACTCCTTGTGTTGAGCCAAATCTTCAAACACGTAAAGTATGGACATAAGTCCAGTAAGATTC